AAAGAGGCATTTTAATAGGTAAAATGTGTTTAAATACAAATGTACAGTTTGAAAGATAGTAGATGATACAGGCTAAAGACCTAATAAAAGAAAAAATAGTTTCTTGAGAAATAGGACAAAGCACAGATGTCATATGTGATATCTTAAATTAGACAGCAGTTAAAATTAGTGTCAGATCATGAAGTGAGGAGAAAGAAGGGGACACACTGTCTCAATGCTGAATCAGCAAGACTTGGCCATGGTTAATTGCAGGAAGAGTGACTAAGCTGCAGTTGCCTAGGAAATAGTTTATGGGGCTTAATTGAATAAAGGGAGAATTTTAGTGTCAGGAATGGTTAACACATTTCCATTTCTTCTTTGTCTTGATAATCACACACCAAAACAGAGGGACTTTTAACAGAAGCACACACTCCATCCATGGTGAAGTGAATCTACAATCCTACACAACATTCGAAGATAAAAAGTAGACCAAGGATTTGCCAATGACTTCATAGAGTGAAGGACGACCACTCCCTAAGTGTCTACATGGGGCAGAGGAGTGTACTAGTGGAGGGTGAGACAGTTTACCCTGCAGAACCCCAGAAAGTCTCAGGAATTGGAGGTCCAGTGATTATAGGGGACAGGGATGAGCCACTGAGTTTGAAGTGCATATAAAATATAGCTAGACCAGTTCCTTATCACCACACCCACTCCCTCAGAAAACAGAAAGCAAATGCTCTGGGCACTCTTAGGTTTTAGTGAACCCTTGGACAAGGATGTGGACTAAGTGGAGTGAGGGCAGAGAGATATGACCTTCTATCACACAAGATGAAAAGTTGCCTCTAGATAAAAGAGAGGACTCTTGAAGAGTTTCACTTTGCATGAAAGATTGAATTTGACAAAGAACACCTGACAAACCTGGCCACCAGCACAAGAAAACAGGGAAATGTGTCTGTCTTGGCTTGGGCCCTGGCAGAAAAAGTGTTCTCTCCTACCAACAATCCCTGCTGCAAGTACCCTGCCATTTTAGTGCAAAAGAGCCACAGACTACATGTAACTGAAGTATAGTAGCTCATTAACTGGCTGTGCTCTAGTAACCTTTATTTATAAACCCTGAAATGTGACTGTCATGTGTTTCGTATATCATGACATATATTTTTTTAATATTTTTTAAAAGATTTTTATTTATTTATTTGACAGACAAGAGATCACAAGTAGGCAGAGAGGCAGGCAGAGGGAGAGAGAAGAGGAAGCAGGCTCCCCGCTGAGCAGAGAGCCTGACGTGGGGCTCAATCTCAGGACCCTGGGATCATGACCTGAGCCGAAGGCAGAGGCTTTAACCCACTGAGCCACCCAGGCGCCCCCATGACATATTGTTTTGATTTTTTTTCCAACCATTTAAAAAGCAAAAACTAATATTTGTTGAATATGAATATATATATATATATATATATATATATATATATATATGACTATAAAAAGAGGCAGCAGGCTGGATTTGCCCTGTGTGCTGATGTTTGCTGATTGTTAATCCAGACTTTAAGTAAATGTGTTAAAAATTAGAGGGTGAGGATTCACTCTGTTTCTCTAAGTCAGAAAAGGGCAAGAGAAGAAAAGGAGAAGAACAGATACAGTAGGACAAAGTTCAAAATAATATATTAGAAATAAATTGGTAATTATATTAAATGTAAATGGAAAAATTGACTGGCTAAGAGATTGCTGGAATGGATATTTTTGTTAGAATGGATTTTTAAAAAACCCAAATGTAATATTAATAAATTTTTTAAAAGATTGCTTATTTTTTAGAGAGAACATGCATGAGAATGTGCACAGGGGGAGGAGCAGAGGGAGAGAATCCCCAGGCAGAATCCCACTGAGTCTGGAGGCTGACCCTGCTGATCTCAATGACCCATGAGATCACAACCTGAGCCAAAACCAAGCTGAAACTGACTGACCCACCCAGGTGCCCCCAAATGTATGCTATTTTAAAAGAGACATACCCTCCCCCCAAAAAGAGACATATCCCAAATATAAGGGTACATTAAAATTCAAAATAAAAGAAAGGAAGATGTTATACTGAGATAATACTTTAAAAAGAAAAGCTGATGTCTTTTTGACAATATTTACCTTACATATACTTTTGACAATATATATTTCAAGTCAAACTTCATTGTTAAGAAGTAGTGAATTAAATGGTGATAAAGGAAGCTTTTTATTAAACCAGGAATATATAATAATTTTAAACTTGCATGTACCTAACAGTATATATATACCTAAGAGAAAAGATAGATATGTAGTTATAAAGAGCTACATAGCAGAATTCTGTAGCAAAACTTGCAGAATTGCAAAGAGAAGTTGGTAAATGTACCATTATACCAAAATATTTTAACATTAGTATTTGAATAATTGAGAGAGCAGGAAAATAAAAATTTGCTATTATACAAAAGATTGGATTCCAACATTTATCAGGTTTCTACTGGACATATAAAGAACCCTGTAACCAACAATTGATTTAGATAAAAATTCTTCTCAGTTTTATTGGAAATTTTATTAAAATCGATCACATACTAGGCTAAAAAGCAAGCCTCATTAGTGCCAAAAATCAGTATAAGAAAAATAAACTTAGGTAGCAAAAAAATTATAACAAAAAATTTTTAAACACGATTATAATGAAAATGCATGCAAACAATACTTGTGGACTGTAGCTTATGTGGTACTCAGAGGCAAATGTAGATTCTTAAGTTATTTATTGGGATAAAGGTCTGAAAACTAGTGAGTTAGATGACCAACTTTATATATCTGGAAAAGAATAAAAGCATGAAAGAAAAAAAAAAAAGGAATGTATCATTATAATTTTAGACAGATTCTTCCAGAGAGAAAGAGTATACACTGGCTCATTTCAGGAGGCCAGTATCTTCAGACAAGTGTATTATGAGAGTGGAAATTATTGGCCATGAAAAAAATATTGGGGGGGGGGCCTGGTGGCACAGTTGGTTAAGCATCTCACTCTTGGTTTCAGCTCGGGTCATGATCTCAGGGTTGTGAGATGGAGCTCTGCATTGGGCTCCACACTCAGCTTGGAGTCTGCTTTGGATTCTCTCTCCCTCTCCCTCTGCTGCTACTACTCTTGCTCTCTAAAATAAATAAATAAATCTTTAAAAAATATATTAGGAAATCAAACCCAACAATTAAAACCAAAATAAAACTGTAGCCAAAATTGGATTTATTCTTGCACTGCAAGCAGCTTTAATTATCAGAAAGAAGGCAGTTTTCAAATCTATAAATTAAATACAATTCCAGTGAAAATCCCCAAAGTTTTTTTTAATAGAACTTGAAAAAACTGACTTCAAAGTTTTATAAAAGAGTGAAGAGCCAAGAATAATAATAATTTAAAAAATAGTTTTGAAAGAAAACAAGAAGGGGGGTTTCCTATTATATGTTAAGACTTACTATGAAGTTTTATTTGTATCTTAAAAAAGTAACAGTGATTAAGACAATGTGCATCAAGCACTTCATATTATAACTTGGCGAGTCTTTTGTACATCGAAGACTCATCAATCCACTCTTAGCAATGCCTTTGAAATTCTGAGGAAGTAGAAGAGGTAAAATAAATATGTTTTTTAAAAAATCTTAGAAATTTGCCTTCCATGCATTTTTGCTTTAGCAAAATCAGGGAAAGAAACAAGAAAGAGGAAGAAGTAGAATCCGGGAAATGGATTCAACACAGGAGAGTCTAAGAAAAGTCCTAAATAATGCCACACAGAAGTCACCAGACACCTGAACAGAAGATCTGGGAAGGTAGCTGCTGTGGATTTGAGCAGATATGTGGCAGAGTCCAAGGAGAAAAGCTGAGTTGATAGATTGTCTGATTTGTTTGACCACATGGATGTCTATTTTGAAGGGCATTTTATGGAGGTGTTCAAGACTATGAGATTTAACCACAGAGAAGGGTCTATATTTACAACATCCCAGTGCCGGGCACACAGTCAGCATTCAGAAATATTTGTTAAATATGTGAAGCATGTCTTCAAAAGTACCAGAAATGATGTCGATTAAAAATGGGAAAGGAGAGGGGCACTTGGGTGGCTCAGTCATTAAGCGTCTGTTCTCAGCTCAAGTCAGGATCCCAGGGTCCTGGGATGGAGCCCCATGTCAGGCTGCCTGCTCAGTGGGAAGCCTCCTTCTCCCTCTCATACTCCTGCTTGTGCTCCCTCTCTCCCTGTCTCTTTCTGTCATGAATAAATAATCTTTTTTAAAAAAAATGGGAAAGGAGAACCAGCTGGAACAATAAAGGGCCCATGGAAAATAAGAGGGTGAAATAGGTGATGGGAAACGAATATTTGAAAACAATTTGACACAACATCTTGGAATGACTCTGGGCTTGGTGGTGGGACATGTATAACGTACGTGAGGATCAAATAAGGTAGAGTTGTGGAGACCTTGAGTTCAGAGGTTTTTAAATTAGGGCTATTGCCAGCAACAGACATTTTAGAGCACCTGCCAGTTATTTGGATGCAAACTGATAGCCAGGGTTTATAATCCAGTTGGGCTGTTGATTTTTTTCAGTTAATATTTAACAAGTTCCTCCTATATCCCCAAAATGATGCCAGAAACTGGGATCTTAATGGTCGGCACAATCCAATAATGTCCCTGCCTCATTCTATTCAGAATATGGGAATATCCAGCCTGAAGCACTTTTTAAGCTTGGATTTACTCTTAATGAAGCCTAAGATTTGGAAATTTATGCCAACTCTGGAAATTGAAATTTTTTGCTTTTCATTTCACCGGGAGTTCCTACCTATCATAATAAGCTTTATTGGATATGATTTTTGTTATTAGGAACATGTACTGTCTTAATAATTCAATTTTGCTAATCATTCTTTTTGGCTGGTGATCTCTCCCTGTGGCTGAATTTTGCACAAGGGATACTTGACAAACACAGGACACGCCTCATTGTAGGCCCTGCTCAGTAGGATCAGGCACTGTTCTCTCTCACCTTCTTTCTCACTGTCCTTTTGTAGGGATTGTTTTCGCACATTATGGTCCGGTGTGGAGACAACAGAGGAAGTTCTCGCATTCAACTCTTCGTCATTTTGGCTTGGGAAAGCTGAGCTTGGAGCCCAGGATTATTGAAGAGTTTCAGTATGTGAAAGAGGAAATGCAGAAGCACGGAGAAGACCCCTTCGACCCTTTCCCCGTTGTCAACAATGCCGTCTCTAACATCATTTGCTCCCTGTGCTTTGGCCAGCGCTTTGACTACACCAATAGCGAGTTTAAGAAGATGCTCAATCTCATGTCACGAGCACTAGAAATCTGTCTGAACACCCAGCTCCTCCTGGTCAACATATGCCCCTGGCTTTATTATCTTCCCTTTGGACCATTTAAGGAATTAAGACAAATTGAAAAGGATATTACCACTTTCCTTAAAAAAATCATCAAAGACCATCGAGAGTCTCTGGATGTAGAGAACCCTCAGGACTTCATAGACATGTACCTTCTCCACGTGGAGGAGGAGAGAAAAAATAGCAGCAACAGTAGCTTTAATGAAGATTACTTATTTTATATCATTAGTGATCTCTTCATTGCTGGGACTGATACCACAACTAACTCCTTGCTTTGGTGCCTTCTGTATATGTCACTGAACCCCGACATACAAGGTAATTAACCTGTACCTCCTTCATTCAAGCAAAGCCAGAGTATTTAAATCGGTGTCAGCAGCTTGGGCTATCCTGTAGCTCCTGGCACTGAGCAGTGTCTTCAGGCTGGTAAACAAAGTGGAAATACTCGAATCCCATAGGGAGTTGGGAAGGTGTTAACAGTGCAGCTCCCAAGTTTCTAGATAGTGGGGCCAATGTCATATCTTCTTGTCCCTGCTATAAATCTCTAAGGTCTGGTTGGGTGTGAAATGTATGCTAGTGGAAGACTTTTAGAAAAGAAAGACCATCCAGGGCTAACGGGAGTTACAGTGATTATCTAAACCAGTCATCTTGTTCTGAAAATGGGGACCAGGGACCCAGAGAAGTTATGTGACTTTCTCAAGTCCCAGAGAAGTTATGTGACTTTCTCAAGATCACAGAGCTATTTTGACCACATCAATACTGATAGGTAGAGTCTGGAAGTTCAGAGTAGAAGACCAACAAGGAGGACAGTGTATTGCTTTTCTGTTGTCCTATAACAAATCACCACAAACTTAGTGATTTAAATGAACATGAATTTATTATCTTAAAGGTCTGTGTCTCACTGAGCTAACATCAAAATGTTAGTGGGGCAGCATTCCTTCCTGGAGGTTCTGGAGAAAGTTCCATTTCCAACTTCCTTGGCTCCTGGCTCCCTTCCTCCATCTTCAAAGCCAGAGATGTTACCACTCTTCTGAGCATGTTCTTTTACTCAGATCTCCCTCTGACACTAAACTGGGAAAAGTTCTTCGGTTTTAAAACCAATGTAATTAGTACACACCCAGAAAATCCAGGGTCGTCTGCCCATCTCAAGGCCCTTAATCAAATCACACCTGCAAGGTCTCTTTTTTGCCACATAAAAAGTAGCATTTTCCTAGGTTCTGGGGGGTTGGGGTGTGGACATCGCTGTGGGGCCATCTTCTGTTTATTATGAATAAGATCATGCTTACTTCATTAGTTAACAAGTAAACAAACAAACAAACTTGTTAACAAGTTTACAAGTACCAAATTATCCCCAAATTTGGCAGCTTGAAACAACCACCATGTACTATCTCTCATAGTTTCTGGGGGTCAGGAATCCAAGGGCATCTTCACCCAGGTGGTCTGGCTTAGGATTTCTCGTGAAGTTGTTGTCGAGATGTTGGCCGGAGCTGCAGCCATCTGCAGGCCTGACTGGGACCGAAGGGTCCACTTCTAAGACAGCGTGTCCACTTCACTGTTGGCTGCAGGCCTTACCATTTGGGACTTTCCAGTAAGGCCGCCTGACTTGGCAGCTGCCTTCCCTCAAAAGAGAGCAAGTCCTGAGACAGGAGCCACCATGTCTTTTATAACCTAAGCTCAGAACTGACCCGCCATCACTTTTCCTTCATTCTGTGCGTCACACAGACCACCATGGTACAAGGTGGGAGAGGATGGTGGGAGAGGACCGTACGAGGATGTGAAACCGAGAGGCAGGGATCCCTGGGGCCCACGCTGGGCTACCTCATGTTGTCACATAAGAGCTGAGAGAGTCCGCTCACTATTCCTATGAGGGAATGATTGAGAGGTCTCCCTAATTCCAGAATACTTTCTCCTTTACCCATCTATCTGTCCTGCTAGCCACTTTTCAAAGTCGCAAGGTGGTACCTGGTCCCTGAGACCAGCTGCCTCTACTTGGAATGTGTGACCAATGTTTCCCTCCCCAAGGCTGAGTCAAATCTGACCTGCCCGCTTAGCAGTTGTGGGTATGACGTGACGGCAAGTATGCGTAGGACGGCAGTCTCAGTTCTCCTGGCTTATCTTCTGGATTATTATTTGTTATTGTTTAATTTTGTTTTGTTTTGTTTTTTGTTTTTATAATAGAAAAGGTTCAGGAAGAAATTGAAAGGGTCATTGGTGCCGACAGAATCCCTTCCCTCACTGACAAGGCCCAAATGCCCTACACGGAAGCCACCATCATGGAGGTGCAGAGGCTGACGGTGGTGGTGCCCCTCGCCATTCCTCACATGACCTCAGAGAAAACAGGCAAGTCTGTGATCCCTCTCCTTTGAGTGCCCTTGAGGGAAGCCCAGGCCCTGAATCCAAAGGAGTTGAAGTGGTGGCGTGCGGACCATTCTGAGGGTTGAACATCGTGTCGTGGATAAGCAAAGGTTATCCAGCTTACCAGGGAGAGCTCCGGCCTTCAGCTGTCAGTTATTCAGGTCCTGGTGGTCCTGGCCAGCTTGTCTTACAAACAGCTCTCCAGAGGTCAGGGCACGCACACTTACGCTGTCAAGCATGTTCTGCTGCCATCTAAGATGGCTGTATGGGCAGGAAAAGCACCCAGGTTAACACAGGCCCCTCTCAGTCTTCTTGGAGGGTCAGAAAAGCTAGTCTATATGTGAAATTAAGGATTTTAACTGGGAATTATCCTACTTCACCTTTTATGGCTCTACAACCAAAGCACAAATATTAAAGACTTAGAAGAGCCCTTCTGATTCTAAGGGCACCTGTTTCAACTTCTCACCTACACGGAAATGGGTCCATTTTGTCATGTTGTTGACACGTAAGGACCCAGATTCTATGTAAACTCCCTTATAAGAAGGAACTTACCTCCTCTGGAGACAGGCTGGGAGGTAAAAAATATATATATTAATATATACATCAAATATGTGATATATATAATATATATAATATAGTTATATTATATATAATATAGTCATATTTTATATATATATATAATATAGTCATAAGGCAGTTGTAGGAGTCAATACCTTATAAATGACATTGGATCACTTCATGTTTTCAAATTGATACACTGGGTGTGCATATGAACTTGTCAGCTGCTAAGAGCCTGCATTGAATTCCCTGTACAGCTGACCCTTAGACAACACAGTGTCAACTTCATGGGTCCACTTATATGCAGACTTTTCTCAATAAAAATATTGGAAAAATTTTTGGAGATTTGTGATGATTTGAAAAAATTCACAGGATGAACTGTGTAGCCTAGAAATATTGAAGAAATTAAGAAAAAGGTATATCATGAATGCATAAACCATATATGTAGATATAATTTATCATTTACTACCATAAAATACAGTTGACTCTTGAACAGCATGAGTTTGAACCATGTGGGTCCTCTTACATGCAAATATTTTACCCTACAGTATTATAAATATATTTTCTCTTATGATTTTTTTTTTTTTTTTAGTGTCATAAAATTTGTAATTCTTTGGAAAGTTTATCTGGAATGCCCTATGATTTCTGTTTCAGTGTTTTCTATTATTTGTAATGTTTTTCTGGTTTGGTTTGATTTAATTCATTAACTCAACATCTGTTAGAGCAACTCCTGTGCCTTACCTCGGTCTAGGTCCTGGGAGCATGTGGCCACAATGCCAGTTGTTAAGGTCTGGCCCCTACCCTCCAGCACCTCAGTGTTTAGTCTCCACAAGTTAAGTAGCTAGGTATGTAAGTGGATTTTTTTTTTCCAGATAGTGATGTTTAGGGAGAATTATTAGTAAGAACGTGTTGAATGACACTGGGTTTTTCTGTTTGTTTGTTTTAGTGCTCCAAGGATATACCATTCCTAAAGGAACAGTGATATTACCCAACTTGTGGTCAGTGCACAGAGACCCAGCCATTTGGGAGAAACCAGACGATTTCTACCCTAATCGATTTCTGGATGATCAAGGACAACTTATTAAAAGAGAAACATTTATTCCTTTTGGAATAGGTCAGTTCAACTTTTATTTTCTTAATGGCATAATTAAAGAGGTAGAACTAAAAGAATCTTTTGTCATTTCATGATATTGTTTTAAAAATAATTCTTTCTTGGGGAGCCTGGGTGGCTCAGTTGGTTATAAGTAACCAACTTATTTATATAAGTATAAATAAGTAAAATCTTTAAAAATATTTCTTTTCTAAGATTTTATTTATTTGACAGAGACACAGCAAGAGAGGAAACACAAGCAGGGGGAGTAGGAGAGGGAGAAGCAGGCTTCGCACTGAGCAGGGAGCCCAATGTGGGATCAATCCCAGGACCCCAGGATCATGACCTGAGCTGAGGGCAGATACCTAATGATTGAGCCACTCAGGCGCCTCCAAAAATATTTCTTTCTTAGCAAACAATGTAAGAGAAGAGGTAAATAACCAAGATAGTACAGCCCTACTATATTCATCTCGGATTTTAAAAACAAAATGAAAGCAATTGGCATTAAATCCTTAAATATGACAAAAAATCTCCCTTTCTGAGCTGTCTCAGTGATTATTTGAGTCCCAAGAAACTGTTGGTGTTAAGAGCATCTCGTTACCTTCTGCTGGACTGGTGGCTAAGAGGCTGGGTTCTGGAATCTCACCAGTCCCTCTTTTAGACACCTGGATGGGCACATGCAAGATTCTGTCTATAAAAGAGGAATGCTCCAGAGAGTCTCTTCTGACTCGTTCTCTCTTTAATCTTCCAGGTAAGAGCAAAGGAAAGAGATAAAGTAGGTCTGAAGGAGACAGAGTAGCCTGGATCTGTCTCTAGTTCCCGTCTAGAATGAGGATAGGTTTTCACGAGCAGGAATTAAAATGTGAACTAAGTACAAAAAAAATTCTGAGCAGCATATTCTCTGGGAAGCCATGAGGTATATGTGGCCATTTTATTTTAAAACTCTCTATGTCTGCATATAAAACACTTACTTGAGATATATAAAATTGCTCTTCTCGAGATAGGAAGAGCGGGGGTATTCTAATCCCAGATTTTTCTTCTGATCTCGTTTTTAGGGAAGCGGGTATGTATGGGAGAACAACTGGCAAAGATGGAATTGTTTCTGATGTTCGTGAGCCTAATGCAGAGTTTCACCTTCACTTTACCCAAGGATTCTAAGAAACCCATCCTGACTGGAAGATACGGTCTGACTCTAGCCCCACACCCGTTTAATGTAATCGTTTCAAAGAGATAAAGAACTTGCCCAAGAAGAGAATGTAAATACATTTCCTCCTCAACAGATTCTTCCTTCTGCAGTTGATGATAGACCCAGCAACACAGTGGCCTCCGGTCAGGCTCGGACGAGAGAGAGACCAGAACGTGGGTAGAGCTTGCATCATCTTGGACCATCCCTCAGCAGGGTGCTTCTGTCACTTTAGTAACGCACATCTGTGACTTAGGGGATGGGGACCCAGGTGCTGGGTCCATTCCTCCTCATCACTCAGTGCCTCAGTCATTCATGCATCCAACGAGGTAAAGAAAATGTGCCTTCTCTCCCTCCTCACCCCTAAGGAAGGTCAAATGCCACGTGTCTTTCCCGACATCACCAAAACACTGTTAAGTACGGAAGAATGAATTCAGAAGCCGAAGGAAGACCCTCCATCTTCAGACCTGTGACAACATGGAAGCGGGGTTCCGACTTGAATACTTTGCCAGAGAAGGATATGGGTTTCGGTCATGATGAGTTAGAGTTTTTCTCCCCACAGATCCTCTGTCAGTCCTAGGAAGGGGGAGGCTTATTTTGTTACTGTTGTCTTTTCATTTGTGATTTAGTTTTTTACATTTTGTAGACATGGACTCGAGTGCCCTTGTCGGGTATGGAGAGGAAGGGCTGTTTGGGTGTGTATGTCTGCCTTCTGTTTCAACTACTGGTGAAAGAGGTGGCTTCACAGTGCCGAGTTGCTCTCTGCTGAGTTGCTTGAGGGGATATAGCTCTACCTTTCCACTTGAGCCCTGAATAGTGAGCTTGGGAATTGTGATACCAGGATTCCTCGGGGAAGGATACAGACTGTGCCAAATATGCCTTTCTTATTCTCCCTTCCACGGGGCTTTGTCTGTCTCACCTTAGTACTTCTCAGAGACACAGAGGCATTCTGAATCTGGTTAACAGAACTGCATCACTCCTTAATAAGGACGGTCCCTTCAGAATAGTGGTTCTAAAAAAAGGCACTGACCCCTTTCAGGGGGTACTTGTAAATGTGTAAGGGCATCTCTGGTTATCACAATGATGAGGGAGCTGTTGGCCTTTTCCCCCCTTGCGGCCAGGATGCTAAGAGTCTGAGCCGACCTGAACCAGAAAGAATAAACCTGCCTCCTCTGCCAATATTTCCCCAGCGAGGGCATGCTCTGAAGAATGGCCAGCGCTCTCCTGGATACTCCCGTAGCCCCTCCTGACAGAGAAGTAACCACAATCCTAAGACGCTCACCCACAGTTTGGAGCCTTCCCTCCTGCTGGCACCACACTTGGGACTTTCCTTGTAGGCCTGCATAATTCTTACAGAAACTCTAGTGAGAAGACATTATTTTGTAGCTGATAGAGCTGAGCGTCAGCCAAGTAAAGGTACCTAGTTAGAAGGTCCCGCTGTTCATTTCAGATCTACGAGTCCTTGTGACTGGAGAGTTCTGTCCCAACCACTACTCTGTACTGCTGCCTCCTGAGCCATGGGAGTCTGCTCGGTGTTTTCAGTGCAGATGGATGAAGTCTAGGCAAATCTCTAGGTGCCTTGAGGACTTTTGTCAGCTAAAACAACAACAACAACAAAACAAATAAACAGATTGTCCAGGAATTGTGAGCAAACGGAGCGGTTGTGGTCTAGATTTGTGACGAGATGATGCATGTGTGATTACACTGTATCTTGAGCAGGACAGTTTGTTCCTCATCTGGAATTTTATATGCATTTGAATTGCACTAATAATTTGGCATTAGCAAGTTCATTACTCCTTAATTTATACATACATTTTCAACATTCCTAACCAAGCAGTTTGTAGCTTACTTCAGGAAAAAAAAAAAAAAAAAAAAGCAAACAAAAACCTGTTCTGTGAGATTTTGTTGAAATCAGATATTCCTTAAACTTTTAAATACAGTGCCTCAGACTGTAGCACTTTAAAAACATCTTATATGGTAAGTCACTGAAAGGACTGTTAACGCTTTCATTGTATATTTTGGCATTTTACGGTTTTGTACCTTTTGATTTAATGTATAAAAATAATAGTAATTTGTTTTATATATCTTCCAAATACCTAGTTTTTAATCCTCATCTTTAACATAATTTTTGGTGCTTTCATTAAACTTTCAGTTTTAATTGAAATAGTATCATGTCTGGTTTTTTGTTTCTTGTTTAACCGCTAAACAAAAAATTTTTTAAACTTAATGTCCAGTTAGGAAATGGAAGAGGGAGCAGACCTCCAAAGAGAGAAAGATGGTCACAATGTAACAGAAACATGGCTTTTAAACTGGAGGATACTTCTTTTAAAATCTCCCCCTCATGTATCATGCTTAGCGAAATAAGTCAATCGGAGAAAGACAACTATCATATGATCTCCCTGATATGAGGGAGAGGAGATGCAACATGGGGGGTTAAGAGGGTAGGAGAAGAGTAAATGAAACAAGATGGAATTGGGAGGGAGACAAACCATAAGTGACTCTTAATCTCACAAAACAAACTGAGGGTTGATGGGG